TTCGTAGATCTACGTATTTTTTTTTTTGAGAGAAGCTAGTTCGTTAAAACGAGTATTTTGTTATACAATTTATTTTAAAAAAGGAGATAGAACATAGAATTCTTGGAGAAGACGCTACATTGGCAGCATTTACCATGCTGTGGTAGACATTTACCATCAGACACAGACGCTGCTAGGTGTCAATTTGGCATAATTCTCTAAACTTAGCACTAAATTTAACAACAGTCTCTCCTTTTCATTCTGTATAAAGAATGACAAGAATACACTGTTATCAAATAGGCTAGTTGACACTTTTTGAAAATATGTTTTAAGTGGTTAATAATTGTTATATTACACCGAAAAAAATGTATTGTAGTAATTATCATGATTGTATTAAGCGAGAATGTAGAAACACAACGTTAAAGACTCCAGAAAAGTTGTGGTTTAAATTGCCCAGAGAAATAAACATATCTACACATGAACACATGTTTAAAACTTGCTAAATCCTGCAACTTTATCGACTGAAAGTCATTTCTTTTTGCATAGATCACTTCGGTGTAAGTACTGATTCAATAATATTTTAAGTTTAAAAATATTTTTTTTAAGTTTATTAATGTACCTACTAAGTAAGAGAGCTTTGTCGTTTCTGCTTTTACAAATTCGGCGTCCAGCATTAATTTAGTCAACAAAACCAATAAACGGAAACTCTTCTACAAGATATGAGTCTTTAGATATATTTTAGTCCGACGAAAGACACCATAGTAACAACAATGACGTTTAGTTGTTTATAAATTTTGTGACGTCATTCTGAATTTATGAAGTGAAATCGATGTATTTCAGTTCCTCATACCAAAAACTATAAGAAATAAACATTTGAATAGTTAACGGAAAATATTCTTCCCTATTCTACTGAGTTATGTTATTTTGCAAATTCGTACAAATTAAAAGAAAATACGTAGATTTTGGGACTGAAGTTAGTAGGTAGCAGAAAAGGCCTAAAATACGTAGATCTACGTAAAAAGACGTAGAGTTGGCAACACTGATACTAAAATAATCACTTTTTACTTCTGAAGGCGCTTTCGTGAATTTTTTCATGGCTAAAGGTTAACCGACAGAAAATGCTTCTAGCGTTAAATTCGCCTTTTCTCCATTTTTGCAATTATGGCAATAGAGTTTACATCTACACATATAAAAAAATGGTAGGAAAGTCAAAACTCTACATTGAATATTTTTCTAAAAGAATACTTGGGGTGTGATCTACAATCGATACCGAAGGCAAAAATTTGGTTTTTAGAATTAGTGTCTGTTTGTCTGTATGTTTGTCCGGGATAATCACAAAAAGTTCTGCATGGATTTACTTCAAATTTGACGACCTCCGTGGCCGAGTGGTTTGTACGCCGGGTTTCATGGTGTTGCCGACACGAGAAGTCCCGGGTTCGAATCCCGGTGGGGGCAGATGTTTGTGTGATGAATACGTGCATTTGTACTCCAGTCATGGATGTTTAATATGTATTTCTATATAAATCTACTTATATATGTACAGTATATGTATTCTATCCGTTACCCTAGTATCCCATAACACAAGCCTTATAGTGCTTACTTTGGGGCTAGGCTAATTGATGTGTGTGTTGGAAATATTTATTTATTTAAAATATTTTTTTACTTACCTGCTTTTTTACGTTGCCTTAACTTACTCTACCTACTAAACCCTGGAGTACTGGAACCTAACTCATTGCCAGAAAGAAATCACAATCAAAATGTAGTATTATTTCACTGTAACGTCTTCCTTACCACCGGTAGTTGCAACGATAATAAATATGAGGTTTCGTCCTGCTCAGGATTCGACCACATCCTACAGGCCGTACCTGAGGTTCCCAGAATGCACATCGAGAGTGCGGGGTGTGGTCATGGCACCATGGTTAGCCCTAGCTTGTCTGTAAATATCTCTTCGTTGCATTCTAAAATAACCGATACTTTGTTGCTTGTGTTATCGTCCATCTCCAGAGTCATTATATACGTATTCGTTTATTCTATTCATCGTAGGTATGTAGCTATGTAGCAAATGTCATCATCATGACTGGCCACGCACGCACCCGCTGGTGATATCTGCGAACAGACCCACACTATAGAAGATACTCCGAAGTGTCAGGGTCATTTTGACTCTGCGAGCCTGTGCAATGCAAGTCTGAGACCTGAGACCCCTAGGTCAGATTCGCGGCTTCTGCGTGAAAGTCACTCCGCCCTGGATTGACCCGAAAAAGACCCGTCCTTGAACTTGCAACATCCAACCCTGTCCCCAAAAAAGCTCAGAAAACCTCACCGTAGAAACACAACCCTATTCATCATCATCAGCCTATTAATGTCCCCACTTCTGGGGCACAGACCTTCTCTATGGATGGAATAGGGAGATTGGGTAGTAACCCACCACGCGGGCCCAGTGTGGATTGGTGGGTGGGTACTAAGGACTGCAGATGCAGCCATGACTAACGACTTAACGTGCTCTGGATACTAAGTTTTTGGTCACCTATCCAATGACCAACCACTGCGTAAGATGCTTAACTTCCACGATCGCTGGCCGAACACGGTACAAGTAGCTCCTACTACTTAGAGTAGGAGCTCGATGGCGCGGGTAGTTAAATATATTTTGTTTGCTGGAGAAAATAAGTCAGCTCTCTAATTTTTTCGTTCCAGCATAACACAAAAAGAGTGTTAAGGTAATATCAAATAAATATTTAATCAAAAAAATCAGTAAGCACCGTTGAGGTGTGGCTTATGGAATGATGGCTACCTATACAGGGTTACAAGGAAAGTCGTACTGAATATTGAAGGACGTTATTATTCAGGTCATTTCTGATGGATTTGGTCCTATAATATGGTGTCCGAAACTTAACCGTTATAGAGATATTGGATATTAAAGATTTTTTTAAAAAATCCTATATTTTTTGGGTTATTGTCGATTTTTTTGAAATTAGAGCTCCAAAGGTCCGATTTTTTAATGTATCTAGTTAGAAGACATGTCAAGCAATAAAAATAATGAATAAATATATAACGGCTATAACGGTTAAGTTTCGGACACCATATTATAGGACCAAATCCATCAGAAATGACCTGAATAATAACGTCCTTCAATATTCAGTACGACTTTCCCTGTAACCCTGTATACTATTTACTATCGTGCTCCACTTTGTATGCTCTTAAATGCTCACAAAATATAGCTGATTCTATACATAAACAAATAAATACCAGTAATATATCTAAACAAATAGATTTCAATAGCACTGCAAGTCAATTTTATAATTAGGAACATAATTAACCTTAATTATTGTGAAGATTTTCAATAACAAGTACCTATTTATTATTAAAACCGCAAAATCGGAATGTTTGTTGTTAAAATTCCGATGTTGCGGTTTTAATAATTAATAGGCACTTGTTATTGAAAATCTTCACAATAATTAGGCTTAATTTTGTCAACAAATAAACAATAACAACTCCATAACATAGTTCAAGGTTTTAAAAGAATGATGATTAAGACTCCATAGCCTTAATCAGAATTATAAACAACAGAAAAAAAAGAAATCAATCTAGTACTTATACTAGATTGTATTAATAGGGTATTTGACAGTATTCAAAATAAAGTGCCAATTGTTAGCATCTGTATTTAGAATGAATATTGGCAGGAGTTTTACTATTTTGATTTTTGACAGAAAAAAATATCCATAATTTTACTAAAAACCCACGATAAAGATAATAGATTTCTTGTCTATTGTCACGTGACCCAAAACGCTTGGGATTGGTGGAGCCTAAAATGACGTCACACGCAAGTAAACTTCCGGTTAAAGTGACATTTGATTGTATGGGACGTCACACACCAGTGAGACGCCATATTGTCCAGAGAAACGTTTTTCGCGGCAACTTGAAAATAGAGTTTTTGATGTGGTTTTTACCGAAATACACAACATAATGATGAATATCCTCTTTTTATGAACTCTATAAACATTAGTAAATAACGTGAGATCGTTCTGTAAAACTTATCAAATACCCTATTGGCTGTAGAGTTGAGGTGAGGGTTCTTCTCCCTGAGCTTCTCCAGTCCCGAGGTTGCTTTTCCCATATCGAGTGCCTTTGTGCCTTATAAATTAAATCTTGCAAATAATGTTTTTCCCTGACGGTTTTACTTTAATTCCTAATAGTAAATAAGTGTAAAGGATAAGCACTTGAAGAATCACCGGATATGACTGTGTTGTGTGGTAACATTGAACAAAGCGTGGATAAATTAGTAAAACCCAAGCGATGTAAATGATTATGCTATGGTTTTTCCCTTTAAAAGTATCATTTGAATCTTTTCTTACAATATCTACTTATAGCCGAAACTTGCTACTTATATATAGTATTTAAGTAAGATCATAATTATAGACTTTTTAACAACACAATAAATATAAACAGGTATTTTTTTCTAAATAATTTGTAGAAGATAATAACCCAGGGAATAATTTAATTAACCTTAACTCTTTTCATTATCCCCTTTAAAACTATAGACATTTATCTCATTTCCAAATATAAGATGAAAGGTATCGTAAAGCAAAAAAGACCCAACGCCTCTGAACTCCTTTATGATATTTTTCACACTGGATATATGTATAAAGATTATGGTATTTTTACATGGGAAATATAAGTTTGATCTTGAACATCTACTTGTGTCTCAATTAAAAACCATTTGTCTGTTATATAAACATTAATACTAACGTAGAAACATCAAAGTTTTGGAAGTATTTACATTTGTGCCTAATGTATGAGCAACAATACCCCAAGCACGAACCACTAGCGAGAAAATAAAGGTATCCTCGTCGTCAAAGTTTCTATGGAAACCAGGCAGCGCCTCCCGAAAGTAAGAACAACTAGCTCCTTCAACAGAAACTTTGACGATGGCGATACGAATACTTTCTCGGTAGATTTTTTGCTTGGAGTACCACTGTTACTACTCCAATACGTTTTTAAAAACCTGTTTTTATCTTTTCATTCCAGATAAAGATGCGGTCAGTATGTCTATTGCTACTCTACACAACTGTGGCATTCGCAGCATCCGTCATACCTGACAGAAAATGCCGAGGAGTTTACTTCGACAACAAATATTACGACATCGAAATATTAAAAGAGGGGATCAACAAAATACACCAATTAGTCTTTAACAATAACGACAATACAGTCTATTTCACATTCGGACAAATCGGTGCTGTACCTTATAGAAGTCTTGGGTATTACAATCTAGATACCAGGCAAGCAGGTTTGATAGGTGGTGTGAGAAACGCATCAGGCGTGGCTGTGGATCAAATTAAGAACAAAGTTTACGTCGGTGGCATAGATGGAGTATACGCACTAAACAGAGACAAAGAACCTGAAAGATATCCAATATACGACAACATTCACAAATTGTTTTTTAGAGATGTATTGTACTACATAAACGTGAGAAAGGAAGCCTACGTTTTTGATAATGGAATTGTGAATCGAATGCCGGAACTACAAACCGAAAAAGTGGATGATATTATAGTTGACGATGACGATAACGTATTTTTTCTGCAAAACGACACTTTATTCAGAGTAAAATTAGGCACAAGAGCTATAAATATTCACGAAGGATATCCAATCAACGTTATGGCTGTAGATCCATATTATAGAGCATTTTTCAGCACTAAGAATGGTATTTTTATCTACAATAAATATAAATTCGCTTTGGACAGAGTTTCTCGTATGAAGGACTTGAGAGCTCTTGCTTTCACAAAGAACATGGAGCCGATTTACGCTGTAGTTGATATTTTAATTAAACTCAAAGCGAACCCAACGAATTGTTATGATTATAGGATTTAAAATGTGGAAAGAACTAGTCTTCTGAATGGATATTTGGTTTATTGTATTATTAAGAGTTGTGTTTTACTGTCTTAAGACAAATATCGAAACAAGACAAATTCTGCAGTTAAATTTTTAATTTTGTTTACGAGTCCGTTACTAGGAAGATCGATTTATTAAAAAAAAACACACACATACACGCAATGTAGTCGATTCTGGCATGATTCTCCAAACCTAATCTTAAATTTGACAACAATGCATCCTTTTCATTCTCTATACAAAATGGAAAAGTCTCCTTTCTTTACTTTAGTTTTAAGTTTAGAGAATCATGCCAGAATCGACATCAAAGACTTGGTTTTGTTTTAGTGAATGTATAGAAAGAGAGAACGAAATAATCAAAGATTATAATTTTTATTTTTTAAAGCATGTAACTGCTTGATGTCTAAATGTAAAGAAAATATAACTAGAAAAAAATCCACGCGGACCAGGCAGCAGAGGGAACTCGAAAAAAATTAAAATTATAACTATAATTGCTACTTCTTCTTTCAAACGTTTAATACTTGTAAAAGTATTCATTTGACATTGTGGGTTACCAATAATGCGAAGAGATGGCTCTGCCTTGCAGCTTAAGAATGGCTAGAGGAATTTCGACGCGGTCCGTGAGGGCCGCGGTAGCATAATTGGTGAGTGCATTCACCCGTATTGCGAAGGGTGCGGGTTCGAGTCCCGTCTGCTGCCTGGTCCGCATGGAATTTTTTCTAGTTATATTTTCTTTAATCAAAGACATTACAACCATATTTAGATCAAGAGTCCTAGTTATGCTTTTTGTGCATTGATTATGCAATAAATTTATAATAATAAGGGTATGTTAAAATTATAAAAATAATGGTGACTATAGATTTTCTTCATGCTCGTCATGAGCATGTTTAGTAACATGAAGTTGTATTATTGAAAAAATAATTTATTTATTTATAGTTTTTCTTAAGCATTTACTTACATACACTTACACTGCTAGACGTTAAATCTAAAGAAATGTTACTAGAAAAAAATCCACGCGGACCAGGCAGCAGAAGGGATAGGATGATTTATTTATACTTTAGTTATTTATGGATCTATATTAGTTTTTAATATATACGTACATGTCTGTGTTAATAAAATAAGATTGTCTTTGGAAAATGACAATAAATCCTACATAATATAAATTTAGGTAGGTAGTTTTTTCTAATTAAAATGTGTCTCGAATCGATGTTACCATTAATTTATAATTAAATCAAGCACAAATTTGAATAAGAAACTAATGTGAGATCATAGAGAAATGATTGATCTCGCTTCACTTGAGTGAGACCAATCATTCATCTATGTGTGAGATATTATAGTTCCGTTTATTTAACTTTAATAAATATTTAAATTTATAAGTTTTAACTTATGTTTCGTAATCTATTTATATTATTTTGGTTTAACTTAAACCATGACATGATAATATTTTATATAAGTAAATAGAAAGTTCGAATATGATAACTTTTATTCTTTTCAAGTATTTGTCATGTCGAGCCGTAGTTGTTGATTTATAAACATAAAGTAACTTCGACTAGAAATGTCGTCATTTCTAAAGAGAAAAAGACTCTGATGTTTTTCTTACTTAATCTTATTAAATAAAAACTTTTTTTGCTCACTCTACCCATTTGGTTTGAATTGACAGCTATGACGTCACAATATGGCGCCTAGTCGGTCCTATTCCTAGTTTAATCGCATTATATCTATCTTATTGATCCGCGCGAATGCATATCGGATCCTTCATAGATCCGCGCGTGAAAATGTTATCTTTACAGAAAAGCACTGCTGATCCGATTTAGTCGTTTGTCGTGGTCCAGGGAAAGCTTAAACGTTGAGATTTTTTTTTAAAATTGCGAGGAAGATACTAAATACAACAATTTAATTTTGTATCTACATGGTTACTTTCAGAGGACCTCGATGGTGCAAGTGGTTAGCGCGTTCGGCTGCGATCGCACTATCTCGAGCTCCTCAGTGCTTTGTAAGGCACGTTAAGCCGTTGGTCCTGGCTGCATCTGCAGTCGTTTGCACCCACCCATCCGTACTGGGCCCGCGTGGTGGGTCATGGCCCAATCTCCTTATTCCATCCATAGGGAAGGCCTGTGCCCCAGCAGTGGGGACATTAATGGGCTGATGATGATGATGATGATAGTTACTTTCTTGTCAAACATGTGACGTTCGTCCCTTCGGTACTGTAGACTCGGGTCTATCATTTCTTCCAAATTATTGTAAGCGGTACGAAGGACGACGGGTCAGTTAGTTTATAATAAAATTAAATACGCCTTCACAATAAGAAAAGTTTTATTTCGTAAAAAAATTAATACTGGTATAAAATTCTTAAAACTAAATTGCTTAAGTACTAATTTCAAGTCACCTTTAAAAATGGTTAAAGATGCATTGAATGCCCTCAGGAAATATCAAATTTTAACATAAAAAAAACTTAAATTGATAGATATTGCAATTTGTCACTTAAAATATATATGACATGTAATTAATTCATACGAAGTCCTTAGTATTAAAAAATAATTGACTATACAAAGGGTAACTTTTGTAAAACGTCACTTTATAGCTGACATAGGTAATGCCGTTCTGTTATTGAAATATAAACAATATGGTCTTCTTTAAAAAATATACTAAAAACATATAGTACTATTATTTACAGTGGCAATACAAAAACACACTTCGTGAATGAATGAATCGCCTTTAAAATAATCTCTACGACGCTACAGACATTTAGGTACTACTTCATAGATATTCAAGTGAAAATCATAAAATTTATAAAACAGCAAATAAGTCAATAGATTTCTTTAAAAGCATTATTTACAAGCGTAATGTCATTTATAGTCCAAAGCAAGTACCTAGAAATACCATGTACCATTACACATCTTGTCACTTGTTATTCGTAATCGTATTAACTAACTTCAATTATCGCAAGGCTGGTGTTTTTTTTTCAAATTAGAATAAAAAACAGAGATAATAACCTACAACTATTGAATATTGTGTTCTTCAAATCTAAAACAGAAAGGATTTATATTTTTAACATAATTACATATTTTATTATTGTCAAGAAATTACAAAAATTGGAAAACTAAAAACACTGTATCATATAATTAAGTTATCATGGTACGGGCCTGGTTTATTCTAATCGATTGGAACCTTTCAGTGGTATCCAGGGGGTCCGTACGCGGTGGAAGGTTTGTAAGAGTTGCCTTGGAACCCATTCAGGGAACCCTTGAAGTCACTGGGAGCGTTGTAGTTGTATCCACCTGAAATATCAATATTTGGTTATAAGTTGAATTGATGTCGTTATTGTTCGTGAAAGACTCAAGTTCATGCAAACTAGTAGAGACATTTATCCCAAACGAAGGGTCAATTAAATCATTATGTTATTTTAGACATCGGCTATATTTTATCGCGTTCAAATAAATTCTTCTCAGGGTTCTTATATAAATTACCTTGGTGGTGGTTGTTGGTTGGTTCAGGGTAGCGTGCTTCTCCCTCATACCTCACGTCAGCGTGGAAACCAGTCTGCCAATCAGCGTGGTAAGTCACTGGAAACAAAAGGATATGATTTTAATACAAAGCTAGAAAATTACCCCACTGTCATCAATACCCCAAGCACGAATTTTGACAGATCCGTATTGGTATCACAAACTTTGACATACAATAAAAATACCTACTTTTTCGCTAGTTGCTTATGTTGGGAACGTCTTCCCATACGTTCTTGTCATTCAGCCATCTCACAACGGTCGTTATCACAGAACACAGAAAAAGTTTATCGCAGGCTCGCCCCCAACACACTTCCACTTTATTGTTAATAGATAGTAGTCAATCAAACGAAGCGACAACAAAAAATCGAACTAATCATCGCTTACACCCGAGAGCAACGACGCAATCAGAACCAAGTTTTGGTCAAGTTGTGAGCATTTGCTCACATATAACCTTAGCGCGCCTGCCCCGCCCACGAGGCCTTTCTAACCTGTTTATGTGTTCAGTAGTCGTTATACAACTTACAGTTGGATAGCTTACTAATAACTTCTGTGGCTATTTGAAACAATTACTGATATATCAATGTTGTATAAGCTAGTAACAAAATTGTTTTGAACAGTCATATATATCGATGGGGCAAGTAGGTAGCGCATACGGACTGCGATCGTGAAATGGGTGACCAAAAATTAATTATCTCAGCTCTTACGTCCTTCGAAGGCACTTCAAGCCAGAGACCAATGGCAACGATCCATAGGGAAGGCCTGTGCTCCAGCAGTGGGGTCATTTATGCTGATGATAAAGCCAGCCAACCGTAAGGACATTAATAGTCCGATAACAATGACGATTACTCACCGATCTGCGTCCGCCCATCAGGCAACTGCACTCGGTATTCCCCCCGGACGACGTTCCCGTCCGACATCTCACGGCGGTCGTAGTCGTTGCCCGACTGTGCGTCCTTCACAGAATACCCGAACTCGTACGCCTTGGGCTGGTGACGAGGAATAAGCAAATAGGTTAATACAATTAAGGCAAAACTTCTCAAACAACGTTTGTGGATATTCATGTGCAAAGGATGGCAAACAAGGGTATTGCCCGCCTAACGGCAAGAGGCCTCAACCTTGCGATACAAAAATATCAAATATTAAAAAATATCTGACCCAATCCCCGAGCTCGTGGATGCGTAGGTGAAGTGAAAAGGCGTACTTATGGCACTAACCAGAATCGCAATGGAAAAGTTAAAGTAAATATGGAGGAATCGTAACATAACAAAAGCCACAATGACTAAACTCGTCTGTACGCTTGTATTCCCCATATTCCTATATGCGTCGCGACACCTTACGTGATATTGAAAAAAAGATAGACGCTCTCGAAATATGGTGCTGGTGAAGAATGCTTGGTGTATCATGGATGGAATTTCGGGCAAATACTTCAAGAGCTCGGCATCATCCGTCCAACAGTGACTCATTTTTTTGTCGCACTATCCGTAAATGGAATGCTCTGCCCGCTCACGTGTTCCCTCCCTCGTACAACCTGGGATCCTTTAAAAGAGGCGTGAAGAAGCAGCAGGGTGAGGATGGCTGGTGTGGCAGGTAGAACTGCTGTATCAACTATCTTCGCGTCTGGACTTCACTTTCACTTAACATCAGGTGGGGTGGAGTCATTTGTCGGACCTATCTATATTAAAAAAAAAACAAACAGCGTCTATCAATACTGGTACAATCGCGTATTCTAAACTTCTTTGGACATGTCTCTAGGCGAAACTATGAATCTGGAGAACGCCTTGTGATACAAGGAAAAGTGGAAAGTACCAGATCACTTGGCAGGTCACCTATGATATTGACTGACCAAATTAAATCTGCAATTGGATGCCCTATTAATGAATTCACCAGTTAGTCCACGAATAGAGCTAGATGGCGGGAAATCGTAAGATAAGCTTTATATGCCCTCTCGCCAAATGACCCACCGTGATCTGGTGATCACGAAAAGGCGGTGACAGAGTGGCGGTACACTCTGATTAAAGTGAAACAAGTGAGAAACAGAAAAGCAAAATTTATTGGTGGTTTCGGTAGCCCCTTCCTATCCAAGTGGATGAAGTAGCCGCTATACTTCTGTTTCCATTATTTCCTATGCTTCTCCCACGAAAACTTGACTGACTTTGGAAGTAAATTCGCTAAAATAGGCGTTCGAAATTTGAATTAGTTTTATAGTAAGTATACGCTCCTTCAGCTGCACAGCCTCTTTCGAGTCGTGTCAAAAATCGCCAGTCAGAAGCTTCTATCGACACGTATTTCTAATTTTGAACTTATTTTAGCGCATTTAGTATATACACCCCGGCAAACTTCTTGAGCAACGACCATGAACAAGGAAGCCTGCGCGTGGCAATTTTACATACAATACCGTCTACTGCGCAATTTTATTTGTCTGTGGTTTTGCTCAAGAAATTTACCGCTACCTATACCAAAGCCACCCATAGCTTCGTCGTACAGATGTGAGAGAAGCAAGGCTGCAAGAAATCGCCATACACTCGTTGAGTTCGCGATAACATAGCGCTTAGTGCATCCGCCCGGATAGCCTCCCCACGTCATCGACTAACTAGAGCTGAGGTCCGAGTCTCAGAGACGCCCTCTAATTGAGCCGACCCCCTCAGGTTCGAGTGGACTAGAGTCTCCAGACGGAGAGGAAACTCCTCCCGTGGGGAGATGCCATCCGCCTGGAATACCTCTAGAGGCACTCAAAAATTCTTGACTTGAGGTCACCTCAGGGTCTCGCCGACCCCAAACCCGGTAACGCTGTAAAGGTCATCTGCGGCAAACACGATACACACTCAACAAAAAAAACTCGGATAGTAGAAGGCGCTAGTTAGAATCCAACGAAACAGCTTAAATCAAACAGTTTAATGCTTATAATAAACTACAATAAAAGCATCTACCTTAGCTTTGATCTGATGATAAGTAATCTTAACGGAAGCCAAGTCAATTTTTTACATGACAAACATATACCGACGTCCCTGTTGTTCTATGCTCACAAATTAATATAGCAGTCGCATATTATTTAGCTGAACTGTATACCCATAATTGACTCTGATTTGTTATTTTAATAAATAATTATATTATCTTGACGAAATGACATAGATGACCTATGGCATTGAATATATTGTGTAAGACAAGAACGCAGATAGAATGGAGTTGCCTGTTCAAACTATAAAATCATTAAAAAGAAATCAATGAATGTCACTTAGTATTATACTGTAATTTTTATTAAGCATTTAACTGATGATGTTTAAATCTAAAGAAAAATTTACTGGAAAAATATCCGCCCGCATAGCGGAACGGGTTCGAAACCTGAACCGACTGGATTCTTTTCTAGAAAAAAAAATCTTTCGATATAAACATCTTGCAGTTTTATGTTCTAAATGAAATCATAATATATATAATAGACCGATATAAGCTAAAATAGCTCATCCAATGCAACCACCAAACGTTCGACCAGCAAAAAAAATTACTTGTTGAAAATCTCTTAGCACTTGTCGACTCTACAGTGTTGTGATTGTGACATTATTTTGTCCATATTGAGAACACCGAGAATTTTCAGTTATTTATCGGATGCCGAGCGGGACGGTGAGTAATTAATTAAACTATTAGTTAGCCATTAATTATTTTGTTGTATCCATATTTTGATTCCGCAAAATATATTCACGTAGTTTCAATAACAAATTAAACTCTGACCCCCTTATCTATAAACGAGAAATAAGCTTCGTTACCGTGTTTTGCTCATATTATCACTTAAGACAAATCATAGTGAAACTATGTACCTTGTTTTTAGCGAGTTTCCGATATTTCGGCACTGTTGCAAGCGCCATGATCAAGCACAAGGTACATGGTAGCAATCCCGTAAATTACTTATTAACTATAATGTTAGTGACCATGAAAGTTTAAAAAAATATATAGAGAAACTCATCCAAGCTTATACTTTGGTTTCTGTTTAAAGGAGATTGCTCAAATTGGCCCAAATGCACAAAAAATATTGACATACACGGTATTTCTTGGCGTAATTTATAATTTAGTTTACAGTCATTAGCTTTCAACGGACACCTTTGTATAATATATTTACTTTAAAAAGGACTTTTAATTTTACCGGTTTGGAAAACATACGAATCATTTTTAATGGCTATGAGTGTAGTAACATTCAGCCAAAGACTGATCGAAGTTGTTTATATAACATAAAAACAAATCTATTTTGTAAAGATCGATAAAATAAATCATTTTTTTATTACACTGTGGTATTAATATCCACAACTATATTATCATTTTCACTAGATGCAAATGTGCTCAGACAATTATTATAGATGGTAGGCGACATCATAGTCTATTGCCATACATTTTTCGCCAAACACCTCCATAAACACATTATAATCTGTATATATGTTAGACTTTAAGGTATCTATCTATGGGCCTACGTTCCCTGACTATAAATTAATAAATAAATAAAATTAAAAGGTGTGATACACTAAAAATCTAAAATATGGTAATCTTAAAAACAACAAAAATAATGAAGCTACTGAATATATGGCTATAGAACCAAAATCTCTTAGCTTTCTTTGGTTAGCGAGAGTTTAATAATTCTCTCTAATCTGTGGCTCATTCACAATCACCACACAGTTTCTGTCACAGAGTACCTTATTATAACCGGAAATGACACCTGATTCTAAAAGTTACTCTTATGCATTAACTTTTAAAACAGATAACTATCTGTTAATCTACATGCTCTATATACCTGAATCTAATCCATAATTTCGGTACTTGGCTTGATTTCCCTAGTTTACTATATAACTTATTTGTTTTTTATTATTTTAATATGTTCAGTGTATATGGTTTATAGAAGTTCTCAGAGGTGTCCGTCAATAATATTCGTTTCTACAGTAATTTATATATAATTTCGAGTCTAGGAAACAATTTTTCATGATTATTGGTAAAAAAACAAACAAACATGTATGGAAGCTGAGCAATCTCCTTTAATTTGACTTTTTATGACTGTTCAAACTTAAATGCTATAAATTTTTTGTATAATTTAGTTTTACAATCAAATAAGATTAAATTTTCTACAATGATACAAAATCAAAGTGCATTTTGTTTGTCTCAATATTTTTCCTGCCTTTTCATGTTTTAACTTGACCGTACTATTTCAATAAATAAATAAATAAATAAATAAACATCTATTCGTGTCTCTTTTCAGGTAAACATGAAATGTCTGTTAATTCTCGCCAGTTTAGGGATTGCAATAGCCGGTGTCATCAAAGAAGAATCTTGCGATTTAATATTAATCAACAACACATATTATGAAAAGGAAACTATTAAGACGGACCTGGACAGACCGTATTTGTTAGCGGTCGACTACAGCACCAACACATTGTACTTCAGTTACAGTATGAAAGAAAACGAAGATATATTCAAGTCGGCCCGTATCGAACTAGATACTAACACGTTAAGTGACATTGACATAGTTAATGGCTTCGCACAAACAGTTGATCAAGAGAACAATGATGTTTTCATAGGATCTAATGACGGCATTTATAAATATGATCATGATACCAATCAAGTTGAGTTTATAGGTCAAAGGGGGTCAGACATATGGGCGATATTCTTCAAAGAAGTAATCTACTATTCGGAATTCCCGTCTCAGTTTTTATACACATTATCTAATGGAACTGCTGTTAGGTTCAAGGATTTAGAAGACACTAAAGTAGACCATTTTCTCATTGACAACAACGAAACTATGTTTTATACAAATTCAACAGGTTTATTCAGTCAAAAGAAGGGTACTAAAGATGCATCTTTGATTGAAGAATTCCCTCATAATGCACCCAGGGGTATGACGACTAATCAAAACGGCGACGTTTATGTATGCCTACGAGATGGCATTTACGAAGTAGATAAATCAGAGTTAAATTTAAAGAAAACAATTGACGTTGATGACTGCTTTGGAATAGCATTTGATAAAAGTAACAATATAATTTATGCTGATTGGAAAAGTCTTGTTCGACTTAAACCAAGTGAGAATAGCTGTTAAGCAATGCCTAAAAAATATCCCTTTATTCGCTATGAGAACTCCTAGTCAAGCGTCTTGATAAAATTTATTAGGACTCGATGAAGAAAAGTACAAATTATATAAATGTTTTGAAGAGGTTAATTGTTTCATTATACTTAACTACCTTCTTACCTTACCTTCACTACTTCATATATGAACTGCAAATGATTTTTTATTCAAACTAATATTAATATACTATACTCATACGTAGTAACTAACGTTGGGCACATGCCCAAGCATATGTGTCTCTTTTTTACTATGATTTTTTGTTCGTTATGATTTCATTAATTTTAACTAAGCTAATTTATGACATAATGTAAAATATTTATTTTCACTAAATACTCAATGAATTCCAATAATAGGTAAATAAAAGTACTGGATATATATAGCTCCCGTACAAATGACAAAATTATTTTCGAATTTATAGGTAATTTGTGATTATCAAGAAATATTTACACACAAAACTCGCGTGTCGCGTCATACGCGTGACCTCAAAGCTGTTTATTACAATTTCTAGTGAATACGACTCATCCGAACATTTCAGTGAATGAGCAGAGTACCGTGACCGGGCAAAACCCACAGAGAACCCTTCACACTACACAATACAGTCCAAAATGTAACAACAAAGAGGATTAAGCTTGGATAAAATAAGTTTGCTCTAAAGGCTGTAAGATAAATGATCAAAACATTGACAACAAAAACAATGTCAGTTAAAAACGTGAAGCAGTACGATACGGTCGTTCTATTGAAATGTCCAAAAAAATATTATTGTCATTATTGTGCGTAGTGGTCACAGTGACGACTGAACTTAGAATTTATCTTATGGACACACCGATACAAAGGATCGGGGCAAGGATATACAAAAGAGAACTTCTAACAGATCAATATGTGAGTCCAAAGGAGTTAGCATATGATTCGTCTAGTCGTAACTTATATTTCATGTATATGGACGATGTGCTACAAAATTCTGGAAGAGCTTTCATAAACGTTGTGACGAAACGAAGTGATAAAATTATAGGCATAGCGAAAAATAAAGCGACTGCCGTTGATGCTGAGACAGGAGAAGTCTATTTTGGATCTGAGGACGGTCTTTATAAACTAGACGCTATCACCAATGAAGCTAATAACATCGGCCTTTATAACATGAATATAATGAAAATTGTGATAAGAAACAACGGTATGTACCTTTTAGATGGAAATGATCACGCGATATACAAAGCCATTAACGGCGGAACCGGCGCTGTGAAAATTGGTAATGCAAAGACTGTCATGGAATTTGACGTGGATTATCAAAAGAACATACATTATGTCACATTATGTGGTTTGTTCTGCGCATTCAACGGTCAACAGGTGATTAAAAATAAAGATTTGTCAGTTGTTTACAACTTTATCATAGACGAAGGTAAGACTTTCGGGGTGGCCTCTGACGGCTTATATGAAATAAGTTGTATGAACGGCACTGCAAAGAAAGTAGCTGAATTAGACTTCGAACCTAGAAGTATATTGTTCGGTGACTACGGTGATATATTTTATACAGAAGACGACAGCATTTTTAGATTAAAACCAATCAGTTCTTATCTAATGTATACACTTCGAAGAAAAACAAATCCATAATAAAATGTGTTTATTATTAATAAATTGATTTGTGAAGACGAAAAACTCCTTATCGTTACCCTCCAACTCTAGATAGCAAGTGAATAAAACAGAAATCGTCTAATTAACACACCAAAACAAAATACAGAATTTATTAAATTAATGTACACATTTATGTGTAACATAATTTTTATTTTCAATTATTCTTAGAAGGTTTTTACTTTGTCCGCAGTTTATTTATTAGCATGTAAGTTGTTTCTTTAAGATCCTCTGGTTTTGATCATAATAATTCATAACATTACTATAAAAAGAAAGTTCTTAGCAAAAGTGACCTAGTCAAAAAATAATAAAAGTCAGTCTTGTGACCACGGACACCACGGAGCCTGTATGGTAATCGAATCGGCAAGAATAATGTAATAAAAATTACTACCTTCATAAAGTTTGAGAACTTTTATTTTAACCGTTTTCACAAAAAAGGATATTGTCAATTCGGTCGGTATGTTTTTTTTGTATGTAGATCTTTTACTCCGAGATTTCTGATCCAATTATCGTGATTTTCTTTTGTTTGATGAGAGATACTTGCCGTATAATTCCATAAAAAAATAGTTGACCCAGTAGTTTCACTTGGACGATGTAATTGTCACTAAAAAGGATGAAATAAAAAATATTTTTAGACAAAAAATTTAAATTGAATAATGGAATCAAAATCATGAAACAGATATTATTTTTTACTTTTTCCATTCCAGCTCCATTTTTAAATTTTGAAGGCAATTTTTATTTTTTAAATCTTCACATCTTACACTCTTTATTCGGTTTCGTTTTTTAATTCTTAATAATGGCCGTACCAATTGGCGGCACGGGATATGCGCCATTGTGCTGATCACGCCAATGATACGATGAGATGAGATGAGACATGCACCACTGTAATTAGGATACTCTGCAATGCAGTTTCCCTGCATTCGAGAACTTTAAATTGAGGATAACCTCCATTTTTTCTGTACTAAAAGTAATATTTTCTCTAAGCTAATATTTTTTCCAACCAGCCTTAGCTGGCAAGTAATTAAAACAAAAAGATTTTCTACTTATGTGTTATATGTAATTTTCGACAATTTCGTAATTTTTGCCTAGCGCTGTAGCTGCGACAACACGGTCACGTCAATATAAAATCTAATTGTTTAATAGATTGTATAAGTGCTAACGTTTGGAGAACATCAACTGGATGTTTTTACAAGCAAACAAGCATAAGGCCCGCCTGATGGTAATGATGATATCAAGAAAGAAGAAAACCGAGTCTGACTAAAAACATATTGCGTCTTTTATTTGTACACGAGCTATACACACACTTGACAGCACTAACCTTGCAAATTTCGTGATAAGAGCTACCTAAGTAGGTTCTCGTGATAATACCTGACCTAAGTCATCGAATTCTGTAAGTATTTCGAGCAGTGTAGGGTTATAGCTCCGAACAAAAATTACTCCTCCGCACCTGATGTTAAGTGATAGTGGAGTCCAGCGACGCGAAGACAGCTGGTGCAGTAGTTTTACCTGCCACACCAGCCATTCTCACCTTACCAGCAAGTTATTTCTTCACTATCCTTATAAAGCTATGACTTACTATGATGTACATTTACTATTTTTTACTTAAGGGAAACATGTAATTGGTCATAATTACCTGTAAAATTACTATCTGTTATATACGTTTACTATGTACAGATTATTTATTTACTAGCCACGCCAACAGCAAATACACATACAAAAACCAAATGCAAAATTTTATTTACAAAAATAAAACCTAGTGAGGGATACTTGGGGGAGGCCGATGCTCAGCAGAGGGTGTATAGGCATAAAGGTACAACATTTACAAATTATCCTAATCGTCTTCAACAATTTATAATAACAAAAAAAAGGAAATGATTAAAATTGGAAAAATACAGAGAATCAAAAATTATTATAATCAGATAAAATAATTGAAACAAAATATACTCGTACATTGGGTGCTTGCACCATGCAAGCAAAGTGATTTCAACACCCCAGATCTAAAACAGCGGAAGGAGTCGTGCAAGACGTCGAGTTCGCTTGAAAAGATTAAAAGAAAGAAAGAAAGCTTACCACTTCATTATCATTTCCGTGACCGTGATGATCATGATGACCACCAGCATGACCAGAACCGGTTCCAGCGTAACCGGAACCGGTGCTGTGGTAACCGGAACCGGTGTTGGCGTAACTCGGCCCGGTGTGGGAATAACTGGGCCCGCTGCTCGAATAACTCGGACTGTATGAAGTGGGCGGTAGGTAATTGTTGCTGGGTGGTCTTACGCCTGGAATGACAGAATAGAAATAAGGACTTGTGGTGGCATAACTTGATACTATCCAATGCTATAGTGAATGTTAATTAGAAACGAAATTAGTGCTGGGGTATTCGGAATTTCTTAATAAGGAAAATGGCTTTTGATTGTCCGTTGTTTAATCACTCTCTCTTGTGTACTGACAAATTTCAATACGATGTAAGTTAAACTTGAAATAGTACTATAGTGTTTCTTATAAGACAAATTGTAGCAAGTGAATTAAGCTACCTAGAGGAGCACCAACAAATAAGTAGAGGCCCTTATTTTCAAATCTGGAACCCAGTTTTTTTATCTCTGTTGTGGGGACCCCTCTCTTGTAGGCCCTGGGCCTGAGCCACAGAAGAAGGTATCTGGTTCTCCTCCCTGTTCATTTCAACTAGCCCTGGGGCTCGTTGAAAAGAACACGACTCTACCTTACGGTCTGAACAGGACCACTAAAAAACCAGACAATACGCCTGCACTGTTCACCCGACACACTCTCTGAGGACCGCGGTCCCTAGAGTGCGTGCCATGCGTGCGGGTGATGTTGCGGTAACTTAAATCTGGCCCCGACAATACCAAGACCTGCAGCTGTATCCAAATAAGGTATATTGTAATTCTGTATCGTAACAAAGATTAAAATTTTCAGAAAGTTGCCAGAGGTGAGTTAAAGAGGAAATATACAAATAATTAATTAGATGTCTCTTATTATCTATATAAGTCGCTTAACATCGGGCACTTGTATGTGTAAAACACGCACCAAAATGCACATGCACACCAAAATTTGAAACACAGTTTTGAAAACCTAAGCGCGTTTTTTTTGGACAAAAATACCATGTGGCTACAGAGCTAATAAATACGGTTCGAAGCATCAAAGAAAACAAAAGAAATGTAATAAAAACGCGCTTATACCTATTCAAATAGTGTTTTACTAGCAAACCAGTGAACCAAATGTTCACAAAAAAAAATGTATTTAATTAATTGAGAACTTCGGAGATTTTGTGTGGTTTCGTTTGAAATAGAAATCACGTGATTTCTCGAAAACCGGAAGTGCTACGTTACTCACATCCGGTTTGTAGTCTTATCAGACTATTCTTAACTTATAACTTAAATATTCTCTATATCTATCTCTTACGGTTTGGCCGCTGAAACAGCACCACGGACGGACGGACGGACTTGTCTAATAGATAAGAGATAATATTCATTTAAAAGATTTTACCTGCGCTAGGGGGCAGATAACTATTCGTGGGAGTGTTGTAACCGTTATGGACATTGTTCCTCGGAGGCTGGTAGTTGTAGCCTTGTACGGGGGGCTCGCAGCTCGCGACGGCAGCCAGCAGAGCAATGCAGAAGACCTGGAAAAAGTAATGAAAATATCAAATGTAGTCACGTGACGTACATCCTATGAATTTCCCACTGATAATGATGTTGTAGGAGCTCGATGGTGCAGGTTGTTTTTTTGTGTCTGAGAAATGCATTACGCATCCTTCAACCACTGGGGGAGCGAGAATAAAAAGGTATGTGGGACTCCTCCCTGTCCCTTTCAGCCAGCCCTGGAGCTCGTTGAAGTAAAAAGGGGCCTACCTACGCCCTAAACAGGGCCACTAAAAACCAGGCAATACTCCTGCACCGTCACCCGACACTCACTTTGAGAACCGCGGTCCCCCTAGTGCGTGTCAGGTGTGGTCGCGGCACCCGTCTTCGAATGGCCGCGCACCCGTGCCTGCGATCGTAGAAGTTAAGCAACTTTTGCAATGGTCGGTCATAGGATGTGTAACCAAAAACTTATTATCTCGAGATCCTTCTAACTTCGAAAGGCACGTTAAGCCGTTGGTCCCAATTACATCTGCAGTCGTTCATAATCAGCCTAATAATGCGCTAACCACTTGCGCCATCGAGCTCCTCCTGCAGCTGCAGTCGTTAGCACCTACCAATCCGCGCTGGACCTGGGTGGGTCACGGCCCAATCTTCTTATTCTATACATAGGTAAGGCCTGTGCTCCAGAGTGGGAGCATTAATAGGCTGATGATGATGAATAATGTTGAGGAACTACGATGGTTATTTTGAGCTTTTATGGTCTCTAATATTATAGCTATATACAGGTAGTATTTACGTAAATAACGTTATTGCTTTCATGTATCTTGTTTCTTGCGAGTCCGCAATATTTCGGCACTGATGCAAGTTTCATGATTACAGAGTAACTTTTATTGTCAGTTAATAAAACCAGCTAAAAAATATCAATTCCGCTAGTTTTTTTATTTTAAAAGAGTGACAAACAAGTATATATAAGCCTGATGGTAAGCGGCCACGATAGCCTATAGATGCTTGCGATACCAAAAAGTCACTCGTGCCATTTTCCTACCCTGACTCAATCCCGTAAAGCCCTGGAACCTTACCCACTGACAGAAACACAGCACCACCAAATCGTAGTGTTATTTAACTATGATATTTATCTATATTATTATTCCTCTTCCACCATAGGTTGCCTGGAAGAGATTGCTGTTTAGCAATAAGGATGGATGGATGTTTAATATGTATTTCTATATAAAATATACTAATATATGTATTCTATCCGTTACTCTAGCATCCCAAAACACATGTCTTACAGTGTTTACTTTGGGGCTAGGCTAATTGCTGTGACTGTTGGTAATATTTATTTATTTTATTTATTTAAGTATCAATCTATAAAATTATCATAATCTCTGACTATATATAAAGATTTTTTTATACAAAACATCTATTTTTTTGTAAAAAAGACTTTGTACAGGTTAAAAAGGGGGCAATGGTTTCATTTCAATGTATCCTGGCAACTAGGCCGAGTGTCTTTTTTAAGTATTATTTCTCCTTCTTATAGGTAGATAGCGGCAAACTTTTTGAGCAAAACCACAGACAAATATACTTTAGACGTTTGCCGGGGTGTATAGCGGTACCGGTTTTGCGAAACGATAGAAAACAGATAAGTACGAGATTTTTAAAGCTATTCACTGCAGACAGAAACAGAATAAACCATAATGAAACACGAATATATTGTTATGCTAGACGCTTGCACTTCCAACACCAGAAATTGCCTTGTCTGGTGTTGCAGGCGTCTTGTAAAGTCTACGTGCCTCGGATACCGCTAACTAACCGCCACTATTCCTACACGAACAAAGGAATTTGGTGACTCATTTCTTTGTCGTACAATTCGTAAGTGGAATTCTTTACCCGCGCACGTGTTCCCTCCTCCCTATAATCTGGGGTCCTTTAAGAGAGGCGTGAAGCATTTTTGCAGGCCGACAAGGTGAGGATGGTTGGTGTAGTAGTTTATAACTGCTGTACCAGCTATCTTCGCTTTTGAACTTTATCACCACTTAACATCAGGTGGGGTAGAGTCATTTGCCTACCTCGCTATATAAAAAAAAATCGAATCCATAGTGAAACCAAAAAAGTTCGCAACCGCAACTTTTTCAATTGTTGTTTTTTTACAAAATAGTTTTTTCATGTTGAATGGCGTTAACAAGTTAATATCAAAGTAACTCATTTGAAATGTACTAGAAGTATCATAAGGGTCCAATTGAATGTTCCCACGGCTGGACGTTCCCATGCACCTCTGTCGCAAGCCTGCACGGCTAGGAATAGGAAATGATTACGTGCTATTATTATCTTTTGATTGTTCACTTGAAAAACTATACCAGAGGCTAACGAAATATATAAACGAATATTGGATGAAGTTTGTCGTTTGAATGGGGGCCATTCATTTATTACGTAAGACTATTTTCGCTAGTTTTTCACTGCCTCCCCCCTACGCAAGATAAAATAAGAATAGTCCTACAACCACCATATTAATTACGTAAGAGTCATAAGGAATAAATAAATACCTACACGTTTGATTTATTCTATTGTTTATTTTCAAAGTACCAATCTTTAGGAATATTTATTTGTACCTACAAAGGTGCTAGTAATTTTTATTATTTTGGCAGCAATAAACTACTTTTTCAAAGTATAATCTTTACTTTGCGTATTTATGATCTTCTTTGTAAGAAAAAATAAGACATGCTCAACCCCTTTCTCCCCCTAAATCACCTTACATAATAAATTAATATCCCCTTGGTTAAATTTTCGAATGCGTACCTAAGTGCATATTTGGTCGGACATCCAGGGGTGTATTTATCCTTGGGACAAGGACAACAAAAGCCATATAAAGACAGTCATTACTGACCTATATATGTATTAGATGTAATGCAATTTGATATACTAGACATCATATGACTGACCGATTACAAGAATGCGAGATACGAGCTACTCCTGTATTGCGTCTTATGACTTCGGAAATGTGTTTTTGTACAGTTTTATATGTGGATCCTGAGAGGGCATGCAGTGATTCAAATTCAATCTATCCAAATTTTATTCTTATAGCCCTCCTATGTATAAACGAAAATTATTCTATGCTTATTCCTCGTGATTACATATAAGCGGGTTAAGGTAAAACTTTTTTTCCACTTTCTATGAGACAGAGTAACATCGACTTACTAATTATAGGGAACCATAGATTTTTTTAACTAAAGTAATATCTTACTATAGACTAATAATTTCAAACAACTTTTATCTACATCCTGTCTATTATTAATCATCTGATAAGTGTTTTACGAATGAAAATTTGTACTTTCTCTTTCATATTGTTTCCGAATTCGTTATTGTTTATTTTCGTCGTTCTCCTATTGTTTGAGTTCATGAGAATTTCGTAATCAAATTAGGTTTAATCTATTCATATTCAGCTTCTGTGTTTGCAATTACATCCTATTTTGTAATGATTAACGAGCATTTGCTGCTTTATCAGATTTTTTATCTTAAAAACTTTTATTAGGTTTTGGAAGGTCTTCCGGGTCTCATTTTTGATGTACTTCTACAAAGACATGAAATTAATAAATTCCTGCATTCCACAACACCTCAGGTACTTTTTTGGGAATCAGTAAAAGAAGGCAATTTTTCAAAAACATTTACATTCAATAAAAGATTTTATGTGACGTGGTTCTTGCCATTTTTAAACACATGAAAATCGGTATTCACGTAGATATTACAACAAACCACATTGCGTGGACACTCAATTATATATTGTGTCAACATAATGATAATGTTATGTGGTTTAAACTAATAACATGTTGACCAACATACGATCAATGTCACACAGCTAATAAAGTTGTTGAACCTTTGAAGTACAAAATATTTCACTATTTTTTTTTTATAAAATAGTTCAATCAACTGATTAGTTGACGTCCCCGTCTGTGAGGTCGAAAGTTCGACTCCTGATTCAAATTGAAATCTTCTGTTTTTTCTCGAGTGCTTAGTTGTAGTAAGTGCTTAGACTATTTCCGATTATCATAACAACATAAAGCATACATGCACTTAGAAAGAAGGACCAACATTTAAAAACATACATACCACTATATTCATCTGATTTCCATAATAAATTTAGTAGTACCTAGGCTTACATTTAATTTGGTTCGTTCGTATTAGGGGTCGTATATGGGTTTTAGCGGATAGTATGCCGTAAGCGCTCGTAAGCCGCGCGGACTGCTTAACGGCTTCTCCGTTTCGCACCCATGAGATTTGCGGGGGGCTAGAAGTGAGGTCCGTTCATTGGTGTGCCTCTTAAGGGCGCCAACGTCTGTAAATAGAGGTTTTGCCTGCGTAATAAAAAAAGGCTTTTATTTAACTCAGACCAGAAAAAACTTTCTTGACACACATTTAAGTTGATGTTTATAACAAAGTAATAGTTTCAGATTGCTTGACTATTCTTAACAGTTTTCGGGAAACCCTGACCTTGGTAAGAATTTTAATGTCAACATCTGCACTAAGACCAATTAAAGGTTCTTAATAAAAAACTATATTATTTTTCCTAGTATTTTTTTTTAATTGAAGCATGTAGCAGTTAAATGCTTAAATAAAAATTTAACTATATTCTGTCAACCGGTAACAGAGATAATGACTAACCTTTTTCTTCGTCTATCAGGTAAAGCAAAAGGTATTACACATATTTTTTCCTTTTTTACATACTTAATCATAACATTACAGAAATATTTATTAATTTGAAACGTCGGCGTCGCACTAAGTCAGGCCTTGAAACAATTTTTACTTAGAAGTGACATCGCAAATCCCACTCCCAAACTTTTCTTTTATCTTTATATTTTTTTGCTTAATTAAAAAATTAAAAAAAAAATGACCGTTGTCTTTTTATAATCTAACTGACGGAATTTCGTTTATTTTAATAAACGCATGTCTTCAACCTATTAGAAAACGCAAACGAAACGTCAAACTATTGAATTAGGCACGAACCACTGAGCTGTAACTACAATTCTTAGAACTATATATCGAAACA